TACCAAGAATTGAACTGAGCCCGCTGTACTTCTGTGTGGACTGTTATATCCCTTCTCACTGTATAAACCTATCCATATACCATATATACTCGAGTATAAGCTGGCCCAAATGTCAGCTGAGGCACCTAATTTTACCACAAAAACTGCATTAAAAATGTGCTGAATTGTGAATGAGGAGGAGTGCAGAGTGGGGACCCAGGGGCCATCGGGGTAAATTGGACATCCCCTTGCAGAAGGGCTGCGGGGAGATGAGCCAGAGTGTAGTGTAGCAACGATGAAATATACAATTTTCCTCTAGTTCTTAAATGCTTCCTCCCCCACCCCACCCCACCCCCACTATCATGATCCCAATTCTATCTCACATATCCGGCTGGACTGGAGGATGTACACTGGCACAGACAGGAACTGGAAATACAGGGAATCCAGGGCAGATGAACCCCTCGGGACCAGTGGAGAGTGTGGCAATATCGGGAGGGTGGAGGGAAGGTGAGGGAAAAAGGGGGAACAGATGACAAGGTCTACATATAACCTCCTCCCTGGGGGACGGACAGCGGAGAAGTGGGTGAGGGAGACGTCGGATGGTGTAAGATAAAATAATAATTTATAAATTATGAAGGGTTCAGAGGGAGCGGGGAAAACCAGGAGCTGACACCAAGGGCTCAAGTAGAAAGCAGGTGTTGTGAGAATTATGATGGCAACATATGTACTAATGTGCTGGACACAAATGATGTATGTACGGATTGTGAAGAGTTCTATCAGCCCCTAATTAAATGATTTTTTAAAATGTGCTGAAAAACTCGGCTTATACACAAGTATATATGGTGTGTGTGTGTGTGTGTGTATTCTAAAGTGTCCTGGTTTTGTTTCTCCCTGCCAAACAAACACACATTGTTGATGTCAAACAGATCTTGGCTGGAAGGGGGTGAAAAGGGGAATACATTACAAGGGTGAAAGGAGGGGAAGGGGAAAGAGAAGGTGGGGATACCAGAACAATATTTACCTGTGTTTACTGATTATGCACAGGTATCTGACAAGGTGTATCATAACAATTTATGAATACCTTTGTAAAGGAATGGGAATTACAGAACAATTACTTGTACTCATTTGTATATACACCATGAAACAGTTGTTAAAAAAGAACAGGGAGGTACTTTGGTTTTAAATAAATGTTACTGACAAAACATACAACATTCCTCTATTCTTTAATGCTTCCCAGCCCCCACCCGTAGTATCATGACACCAGTTCTACCTTACAAACTCAGCTAGAGCATGTACACTGATAGATAACAGCTCTTGACACATGGTATCCAGGAAAGATCAACCCCTCAGGAACAATGGGAGCAGCATTATCACGAGGGTAGGGGAAAGGTTGGGGGGAGCCTATTGCAATGATTGACGTGTAAGCCCCCCCACCCCCCCTAGGGTGACAAACAACAGGAACATGGGTGAAGGGAGACAGCAGATGATGTAAGATATGAAAATAATAATTTATAATTTTATCAAGGGTTCATGAGGATGGGAGGATGGCGGGGGTGGGGGGGTGGGGTGGGAATGAGCTGAAACCAAGGGCTCAAGTAGAAAGAAAATGCTTTGAAAAGGATGATGGCAACATATGTACAAATGTGCTTGATACCATGGATGTATGGATTGCTTAAGTAAGAGCTGTAAGAACCCTCAATACAATGATTTAAAAAACAAATTATATAAATGTTTTTATTTATTCAGTGTGTATGTTGAGCAAATTGGGAATGTAGATTATACAAGAAAGTGGCAGCAGAGTTAGAGGAAGGCTCATTAACAGCCCATAATATGCATATGGCACAGCTTTGCTTGCTGAAAGTGAAGAAGACTTGAAGCACTCACTGAAGACAAGACTCCAGCCTTCGGTAATGGATGACACATTAATATTAAAACAAACACTTCACAAATGAGCTCACAAGGAACATCATGCATGATAAATTAAAAAATACTGAAGATATTAAGTAGTTCATTTTCCTTGGCTCGACAATCAACACCCATGGAAGCAGCAGTGAAGAAATGACCTATTGCACAGGTCTGCTGCAAAAGATCTTTTTAACTGTTAAAAAAGCAAAGGTGTCACTTTAAGGACGAAGCGGATGTTTTCAATCCCCATATATACATTCTGGATAACGAGTACAGGACAGTGAAACTGAACAATGAATAAGACCAAGCTGAAGGGACACTTTAGAATGACGGCGTTGGGGAAGCATATTGAACTTTTCATGGACTGCAAGAACGAACAAACCCGTCTTGGAAGAATAGTCAGAGTCCCCTTTAGAAGTGAGAATGGCAAGACTTCATCTAATGTACTTTGGACATGTGATTAGGAAGGGGCAGGCTCCGGAGTAGGGCACTGTTGGATAAGAGGGCCAGTGAAAACAAGGGAGACCCTCAATGAGGCGGACGGACATAAAGGATATCGCGGACTGAAACGGTCACTGATTGTGAAGATGGCCCAGGACCCACTGTGCATCCTGCTGCACATGGGGCACTATAATTCATAATAAACACGGAGGGGCCATCACTAAAGAATGTTGTGATTAAAAAGAGGTTATTTATTTTTAAAATCATTTTATTGGGGCTCATACACTTTTTAAAAAAACATTTTATTAGGGGCTCATACAGCTGTTATCGCAATCCATACACACATCAATTGTGTAAAGCGCATTTGTACATCATTCTCAAAACATTTTCTCTCCACTTAAACCCCCGAC